GACTCCGGAGTCATAGCCCAATTTTCTGTATTACTATTATTTTTCGTCGCCGGCGCGCACGAAAATATTCCCCTTCAGTTGCAAGTTGCTCAGGCTGGAAGGCGACTGCCACCTGGTTCGCGAATGCTAAGTGATTGAGACTGAGTTCCACTTGCCCGTAGCGGCTGTTGCGATAAATTCGATTCTCAGGATCACCTACCTTATACTGGTAGGTTACCGGGTGACCTTTAAGACCTAAGATGCAAATGGATATGCCCCGCCGCGCACGGTGTGCATCCACCGAAATTTAGTCTACCCCGGCTTGCATAGGTGGGAGGACTCGGTTCGACTCCGGGCGGGGTCATGGCCCACTCAAGTAGCAGCTTTTTTTTTCAAGGTGCCGTTCGACATGAGAACATCCTCTTCCTCTTCAGTTTCAATCAGGTTGGGATTCCAGCGGATATATATGAATGAACTACCACCAAATTAGCTGAACCTGCCCTGGACCGAGATGGGCGATATCGCAGTGTGGCCATGGGTAAAAATCCAAGTCAGCGACATCGATGTATGCACTAAGTAAAGATCAAGAAAGCCCAAATTAAATTCAACCCATCCGTCCATCCACCCTATCCTATCCGCTATCTACCAAGTATATATGTCAGCACACGGCATACAACAGAAGGCACATTAATTTATGTAAAGCAAGCAGTAGATCTGCCCGCATCGTTCAAATCCCGCATCGTTTAGTCCCGCACAGTTGAATCCCGCAGTCTCGAAATCTATCTATCCAACTCGTCCCCGTCGAAATTTCGACTAGCGCGCGAATCAAGCAGCCACGACCGGAGGGACGACTGGATCTCCCCGCCGTAGCAGTGGGCGTAGTTGAATCCGACGGGGCAGTGGGTGGGGAAGCGTCGGCCTCGGAGGGTGGGGTGGGTTCCGCAGTGGCTGAGAGCGGGGAAGGCGTCACTGGATCTCCCGCCACCGCTGCGACCGTAGCTGGAGCTGAATCCGACGGGGCAGCGGGTGCGGAAGCTTCGGCGGTCTCAACGGATGGAGTGGGTTCTGCGGCCCCAGAAGCAGTAGCGGGGAGCGGGGCGGGCGTGTCGGTGGGCGGCGGAGCTGAAGTGTCCGCGGGCGCTGTGGACGCATCGACGGAAGGAGGCGCTTCGGACGCAACGGTGGAGTCGACGGCCTCTGGTTGAGGCTCCGTCTCGGCATCGCCAGCGGGCGCTGGTTCTTCCTCTGGTTTGGGCTTCATCTCGAGGAGAGGCGCCAAATCCGCCGGCGGACAGGCTTTTTTCAGGAAAGCGTGCTGCAAAAGAGTCGTTAACACTCAATACCCCCGCGCCCGCAAGGAAACAACAGAAAAAAATCCAACCCACCTGCACCAACTCCTCCATCCCCGGCCGCTGCTCCGTATCCACCGTCAAACAGTCCGACAAAAAGTCCTTCAGCTCCTCACTCCACCGCTCCGCGTCCTTCAACTCGGGCGTCCCATTAACCAGGATCAAAAACAGCACCTTGAGCGGGTCCGCGTCCTTGTACGGCGGCCCGCCCTCGAGCATCTCGAATAGCGTTATGCCAAAGGCCCAGACGTCGATCTCCGGACCGTATTCTTTGCGCTTGATGATCTCGGGCGCGGTCCAGTGCGTCTTGTCTTCGGTGTACGCGGGGCGGTTGGGGATGGCGAGGGTGGAGACCATGGTCCGGCGCTTGGCGGCCTTGTCGGCGAGTTGGACGGAGAAGGCGAAGCCGGCTGGGTGGGTTGATTAATCAATTAAAGCATTATTTGAGAGTAGGGAGGGACGCACTGATTTTGACACGACCCTTGGGGTCGATGATTATGGAGTCGGAGCGCATGTCGCGGTGGATGATGAGTTGGCTGTGGAGGTGCGCGAGGCCTTTGCATGTCTGGAATCGATTTATAACAAATGAGTCTCAAAATCGCGAAAAATCAACGCAACGCACCTCGAAACATATCCGCGCCATCCGCTCCTCCGTAAACTCACCCTTGGTATTCGCGATAATGTCCCCCAGCGGAACGCCCTCCTTCATGTACTCCGTCACCAACCACACCTCGCTCATCTCCACCAGATACAAATCATAGAACCCCACCACGTTCGGGTGCGAGGACATATCGCGCACCAGAAACAGTTCCGTTATAAGCCTTTTACCCGAAAAACGCTCTATCGGCTCCTCGAGGATGGTGACTTTGACGACGACGACCTCCCCGGTGCGGGCCGCGCGCGCGGTGTAGCTGACGCGCCCGAGCTTGTCCGTGCTGAGCTCGTCGAGGATAGCGTAGGCGCCGTGGGGGTCGTTATCCCGACACACCCGACGCAGCTCGCCCATGATCTGGTCGTGCCAGAAATACGCCTCCTCCAGCTCGTCCTCCGGCTCGTTTTCGTGGTCCTCCCCGTCCTCCTCCTCCTCTGCACCCTCCTCCTCCTCATCGCCGTCCTCGTCCTGCGGCTCCCCGAGTTCCTCGAGCGCCGCCGCGGGACTGAGGCTTCCCTCCCGACTGCTCGACGCATGCACATACACAGGTGCCAGCGCGTCCCCCTGCTCCTCCCCTGTCGCAGCCTTCTCCTTGTCGATGTGCTCCGGCGCCACGATCGTCACCTTCTTCGCAGAGTGCACCACGGATGGAGGCACCTCGCCCTCCGGGGTGGCCGGTATCGATTTAATCAGGATGGATGCGACTGGCGGCTCGACGTCGACCGGCGAGTCCACAGTGGCCGTCGTCGCTGGCGCTGGCGCCTCGTCGTTGATGGAGTCCATAGGCTGGTCGGATGGTGTGGGTAGGGAGTCTTCAGCGGCCATGGGAGTCCAATATAAGCAGCGACGAATATATTTACAGCTTCGGCTTCCAGGCAACAATCAATTGCGGGCTTAGAGCCCGATGGCCTGCGGAAATAACAACACGTCAATAAAGGCACAGCTTTTCGACAGCTGTTGAAAAAATAAGGTGAGGGTTTACAGCTTCTGCTTATTGTTTGAGGGCTTATTGGTGCGCGCATGTTTTGCGGTGCTACAGCTAAGAGGGAGAAACGGGCAGAAGGGATGAAACATTGCAACGATTCACACTTCCGAACAAATTCCGAATATAGCTGTAAATCATGGGACGGCGTTCCTGATGACCGGCAAATCACAACCAGAGGAAAGTCCAAAATTCAACCGTTCGATGAGTGTTCAGTATTCAATATCCCCTGAAAATGATTGCTGGAATAAATTCGGAAGTTGAACGTTGAGATTTGAAGGGCAAGACGGCCTCACAATTTGGTCCTTATAATTAACATTGAATCCCCCAACCAAGGACGAGGACGGGTACCACGACCCAGGGAGGGAGGCATACACTCAAAATCCGCAACAAAGATATAAAAAACAGCGCTGCGTAATCTGTATGACCTCGCCCGGAATCGAACCGGGATCTTCCACTTTCAACATGCAATGTCAAGATAGCGGGAGTAGCTGCATACCACATGCTACAGGGTCTTCCTCACACACCCTGTATCGGCCCATGGATGAATAAATTTATACAACAGAACTTGCGCGACGAAAAATGCAACATGATTTAGATTTACGACCCCGCCCAGAATCGAACCGCGATCTTCCTCTGGAAACTGTCTCCAACCGTGTTTAGGGAGAGCGGAGGCATACCATATGCTACAAGGTCATATTTTATACCCCGAAGTGTGGCAGACACTGCAGACTATCAAGCGAGAAAGAAATTGAACACAGAATCAACAAAGTGAGATCAACAAGGCTATAATTAATTACCTTCAAGTTGTCGCATTCTAGATGTGCTATCCAAAGAACACAGCTCCAAGACGCTGTGTACTTGGTGATTAATTATTCAGCTTTGAAAGAAAGACAAAGAAATGCATGCCATGTCTGACATGACCCCGCCCGGAATCGAACCGGGTTTCAGCATCCATCACAACTCAGTACTCAGCGGGAGTGGATGCATACCATATGCTACAGGGTCTTCCTCACACACCCTGTATCTGGCCATATGTGAATAAAAATGGTCTACAACAGAACATGCGCGATCGAAGGAACAAAAAGACACAACGTACGACCCCGCCCGGAATCGAACCGGGATCTTCCGCCAGACGCATACGATATGGCCGAAAGGAAAGCGGAGGCATACCGTATGCCACAGGGTCTTCCTCACACAGCCTGAATCGGGCCATTCATGAATAAATTCGTATAGTAGAACTTGCACAATCGAAAAAGGAACGAAAATGCTTACACGGACGCTGTTTAACGTACGACCCCGCCCGGAATCGAACCGGGATCTTCCGCTGCCATACATTCGAGAAACGAGTTTGCACAACGAGAACGGATGCATGTCACATGCCACAGGGTCTTCCTCACACTGTTGCCTGCATCTGGTCATGCACGAATAAAATTGGTCTACAGCAGAACTTGCGTGACGAAAAATGCAACATAATTTGGACTTTTTACGACCCCGCCCGGAATCGAACCGGGTCTTCCGCTGCAAGAGAAAACATAGACATGGTGAGGGAGCGCGGTTGCATAACACATGCTACAGGGTCTTCCTCACACACCCTGAATCGGGCCATACATGAATGAATTTGAACAATAGAACTTGCGTGATCGAAAAAAAGGAACAAAAAATGCGCTGTAATCTGCACCTACGACCCCGCCCGGAATCGAACCGGGATCTTCCACTGCAAGGCGGACATGTCTTAATTAGAGAGAGTGGCTGCATGCCACCTGCCACGGGGTCTTCCTACATACTGTAACTTGCATCTCCTTGTGCATGATCATTTGACCTGTAGTAGCCTGAATTCGAGGGTGGGTCTGGAGGAACAAAAAAAGAGTGCAAGCGGTACACGACCCCGCCCGGAATCGAACCGAGATCTTCCGTTGAGTGATGTAAACACCGAGGCTGAACTAGGGAGAGCGGAGGCATACCACATGCTACGGGGTCATATTTTATACCTTGAATTGTGGCAGACACCAAGTAAATTTGACAAAGACTGGACCCATTGCAATGATGGATGCACTGCGTTCCGGGGTCGCCTAAACATAACAATGTGCAGCTATTTCCGGAGCTGTGTAGGTAAGCGTAGGTCTGTGTAGCGACCTACGCTTACCTACACAGCTCCGGAAATAGCTGCGCATATTATGCGCAGCTATTCGTGGATATGCGTAGGCAACCCCGGAACGCAGTGATAATTGCAATATATTCACTCAACCACTGAGATGGCTATATCGCATTCTGAGTCAAAAGGCTGATAGATCTTGGCCCAGATATTCTGTGCTTGATGGTTAATCATTGAGCTTTGAAAGAAAGAAAAAGAAAAGAATACATGACCCCGCCAGGAGTCGAACCGGGTCCTTCCGCTGCAAGAACAAACATCGAAATATTGAGTGAGCGCGGTTGCATACCACATGCCATGGGGTCTTCCCTCATACTGTAACCTGCATCTGGTTATGCGCAGATAAATTCGTGCAATAGAACTTGTGCGACGAAAAATGCGACAAATATCAACCTACGACCCAGCCCGGAATCGGGCTTTTCCGCTGAGTGATATACAACAGGCTCAAGGAGAGCGGAGGCATGCCACATGCTACGGGGTCATATTTTACACACCGAACCTTATCAGACACTGCAGACTGTCAAGCGAGAAAGAAACTGAACACCAGTGAGATCAACCAGGCTATAATCAATTACCTGGTCGCATTCTGAGTCTGTCTGGATGTACTACACTGCAAAGAACACAGCTCCAAGATGCTCTGTGCTTGATCATTGAGCTTTGAAAAAAAAAAAAAAACAGGACTGAGATAGCCTGGTGACGACCCTGCCCGGAATCGAACCGGGCTCTTCCGCTGGAAGCTATGCGAACAAGGGAAGGAGAGCAGAGGCATGCAACATGCTACGGGGTCTTCCTCATACACCCTGAATCGGGCCATACATGAATAAAATCGACTGCAGTGTAACTTGCGCGATCAAAGGAACAAAAAGAGAGTTCGCACGCCTACGACCCCACCCGGAATCGAACCGGGATCTTCCTCTGGACACCTTAGACGATTTAGGGAGAGCGGAGGCATACCACATGCTAAATGGTCATAATTTATACCCCGAATCATGCCAGACAATGCAGCAGGTGAGAAGAAAATTTGCTGGAGACTGGACTCATTGTGATGATTGATGGTTGCAACTATATTCACTCACAAGATCTACTGGGATGGTTATATCGCATTCTGAGTCAAAGGGCTGAAATCCACCGTCTTCGAGGCCCAAGATGTTCTGTACTTGATTGTTAATTATTCAGCTTTGGAAGAAAACAAAAGGAAATGCAGGTTATGTCGGATGAGCCCGCCCGGGACTTCCACCGCCATACATTCAAATGAATCCGCACAACGAGAACGGATGCATACCACATGCCACGGGGTCTTCCATACTGTAACCTGCATCTAGTTATGCACAATTGATTTGACCTGCAGTAGCTTGAGGGCGATGGTGGTTTTGAGCCAAAAAAAAAAAGCATGCACTTTGTCGGACACAACCCCGCCTGGAATTGAACCGGGATCTTCCGCCGAGTGATGTAAATACCGAACTCCAAGCTCAAGGAGAGCAGAGGCATACCACATGCTACAGGGTCATATTCTATACACTGAACCTCATCAGACACTGCAGACTATCAAGTAAGAAAGAAATTGAAATCAACGAGGCTATAATTGATTGCCTGGTCGCATTCTGAGTCTGTCTGGATGTGCTACACTTCAAAAAACACAGCCCCAAGACGCTCTGTGCTTGGTGGTTAATTATTGAGCTTTGAAGCCAAAAAGAAAGACAGGATTGAGAATTGAACCGGGATCATCCGCTAGCTGAACGAGGAAGGGCAAGAACAGCGGAGGCATGCCACATGCCACGGGGTCCTCCTTCACACAACCTGCTATGAATGAGCAGAATTGACCTGCAGTAGCTTGAAGGCGAAGGTAGTCTTGATGAGGAACAAAAAACAAGCTTTTTTCACCCCCACGAGCCTGCCTGGAATCGAACCGAGCTCTTCCGCTGGTTACTATGTAGACGGCGCAAGGAGAGCGGAGGCATGCCATATGCTACTGGGTCATATTTTATACCCCGACTTGTGGCAGACACGAAGTAAATTTGACGAAGATTGGACCCATTGCAATGGTTGATGGTTGTAATTATATTCACTCAACTGAGATGGCTATATCGCATCCGGAGTCAAAAGGCTAATTACCACTGGCACAGATCTTGGGCCAAGATATTCTGTACTTGGTGGTTATGTATTCAGCTTTGAAACAACAAAAGAAAAACGGGACGATTTTATGTACACGACCCCGCCCGGAGTCGAACCGGGATCTTCCTTTGGACACCTCAAAATGCGCGTTAGGGAGAGCGGAGGCATACCACATGCTACAGGGTCTTCTCTCACACTTTAACCTGCATCTGGTTATGCACATTAATTTGACCTGCAACAGCTTGAAGGCAAAGGTGGTCTTGAGCCACAAAAAAATAAAGTATAGACTCTACTGCACTGCATATGACCCCGTCCGGAATCGAACCGGGATCTTCCGTTGAGGCATATGTCCAGTCCTTCACCGAAGTTGCGTACCATACGAACATTTCGGATGTTTTTCAAAAGTGGGGGAATGGATTCGTTGGCTAAAACCTTGACCGATCACTCTTGGTGAAAAGTTGGTGAAATTGCGTTGCTCTTAAGATATAAAGGGAACAGTGGGTGGAAGAATAAGCATATTCCCCCTCGACAAAGTTCTTGTATCTTCTTTGCTAAGAGAATGGCCTGTTCAAAATTGCGGTGAGCGGTGTTTGAAAATGCGAAGAAGTTTTGAAAAGTTTCATAGGTGCCTATAACGCCGTGGGCCTAGTTTGCCGAGGGAAATAGTGATGAAAGAGGGCTAAAGAGGGTAACGGAGGGGATGAGGAGATGTGTATCGGGACAGTAGTGCGACGGGTTGGGTATGGCAACTAGAGGGATTGAACTTGGGTGTAGGAATTTTATTGCAAGTATAACTACAATTAAACTACTCAAGTACACCACATTGCACTCCTACCTGGACATGAACTGGTTGCACGCCCTGTGTTTAGTTCAGTTAAATTCAAGGAGATCGTACCTGCGATCCCTTGAAGGGAAAATAAATTACATCTATAGGTGCTTGACCTCAACTTCAATCTCACTTGACATCGAGACCCAAACCATCCTTGTTTGACTCGAGGTATGTTCGACGTTGCATCTATAATATATTCGACTCGCACTTCGATGGTCAAGTCTGTATACAACTCAAACAAGACATACCTGACTTCCATGGATGCCCAGAAGGTTCATCCGACGGTTAATCGGTATATGGTACCTCGTCCTATCGGTACCTTCATTAACTTCTGGAGCAGCGTTCAGCCTCGGGCATCTCGGGGAGCCCTGAACCCTCAATTTCCTTATTGTATTGCGGCCGGAGGTGCATTGAATTCATCGTTGAGATATTACATGCCATGGCTAATTATTATCTGTCTCACAGATTGGAGTTTTCGATGGCTAAGTTAACCGAGGAGCTAACCAACTCAAACTGGTCAGTCGACGCCGTCTTCGACTGCATTCAACGTCAACTAACCTTTCATTCATCCAGATCCTTCCTCCAATTTTAATTCCAATCTAATGTTTTACTGACCTTCCTTTCGTTCACCCAGAGTCTCATCAGTAAAACAACACATTTGTCTTTGGCGTCTTCTGTCTTTGGAACACATCTTTAGCTATCTTTATCTTTGAGTCTCGTCTTTGAGTGTCTTACGTCTTTGAAATTTCGTCTTTGTCTTTGGGAACACATCTTAGTGGGTCTTGGTCTTTTTCCTCAGTCTTGTCGCATTGCCTCCCCAAAACCCATCAACTCCAAAGAATGTGAAATCTTGCCACATCAGCAAAATGTTTTTCAGCTGGCAGAGCTGGCGCCAGCAACTTTGTCGCGCACTGGAGTAAGGGATTCTATATGTCAGCCAAGATGTAACTAAATCACAATCCTTGGTCGAGGAGGGGGTTGAATCGGTGGGGCCGGGGGTCCAGCGAAAGCAGATCAGATTTAAGCAAGTAGGAAACCATTGAACTATTATACAAGGTATTGCAGTGTAAAGATTGACGAAGGAGCAAGGGGGCCCAAGGATAAGCAATTACCATATGGGGTAGAGGGGGGGAGGGGTCCAGGGTCCGCCGGAAAAAAAATATGTATGCAATTTTATTTTACCCCAGGAAGGTCCGCTGGGCAGTTGAGAACACCAGGCAGGACCTCAAGCATGACTTCCCTATAATCACCCCATTGTAGGCCTCTCACTGATTCCGTTAGCAGGGTTGGGTCACCGTGGTCCGTTTTGAACCAAGTTTCAACCCAACAAACAGTGTGAGTGTCAAGAGAACGTCCATGCTTCAGTAACTTCTTCTCACATGGACTGCTGTTGTTGTTAAATGACTGCCTCCACCACTTTCTACCGCCATAATATCGTAGCTCGATACTCTGCCGCCTCGGATATCCTTCTCTAAAAGGGAATCTGATGGCATCATCGTTACGTAGGGGGGGGGAGGGGTAGGCCAAAGTGCTAGGAAAAAAAAATATGTAGGTGATATCCTTTTTTCTTATCTTTGGGCCCCCTTGCGAAGGAGACAAAATTTGACCAAGTCCGACGGCGTGTGTGATGCTTTATGGCATCGGGCATCAATGCCCGTGCGGGCCCGTGTGCAATCAACTGACGCAAACGAAAGATGGGATCATTTCTTCCTTGTCTTCCCCCACCATCTTCCCCGCCGACGTTCCTCGCGCACACCTCAGTGCGAGACTTCAAACCCTTCTCCTCAAGTCCTTAAGCTCAAGCTCCAGACCTGATTCCCTCAATCCCTCAACTGCGCCGCTCAAGACCATCTCAACTCTTCGGGATATCTCGCCATTCGATGCCTGTCTTCTCAAGTCCCCAGTCAATTCTCCCCATTGCTAAGAAGGCCCAGTTCTCGAGGCCTCCGAATGCAACACGGCTCCCTACTCGTCAAACAAAACAAGGCTCAAACAATAAGTCTCAATGTTCATCAAACCTAAACTTCGGGCAACACCGCCGTCGCGACTCCGCCGCCGGCACCAGGACCCTCGCGCGCCGTCGTTCTTTTCGCGCTTCCCGCCGCCGAGCAGTACGACTCCCTCAGCCACAACTCGTTGGTTTCCGTGCTCGAGCACGATGGTCTTTCCCAAGCTTCATCACCGACGTCGCCCCCAGTACCGTGGCACCTCCCCTCTCGGCGCCGCGGCGCGCTTCCCGTCGTGGGCCCCTCTGCGCGTCCTTGTTATCCCCGCGCTTCCCGCCCCCCGAACGGCTCGGCTCCTCACGTACAACTCATGGATTTGCGAGCACGATGCTGTGGTGCGTTTCGTCGATATCTATATGTACTTTATATACATAAATGTGTCGTATTTCCGCCCTTGAATAGTATTCTCCTGCATTAATATCTTGTCTTGAGAGTGGTCTTGGGCCTGTCTTTTGCATCTTGGAATGTCTTGGAATTAGGACTTTAGCAACGATGGCTCACGTCTTTGGCGTCTTTCCCAAGACATTTGTCTTATCTAAGACAAAGGACCTGGGTTAGCCAAAGACGCACGTCTTTGGGAAAAAATCGTCTTTGGCGTCTTTAACGTCTTGGCCAAGACGCCAAAGACACCAAAGACAAAGGTGTGATTTTACTGATAGGCTCACCGCCCTGTCGTTAACGGAAAATAGTTGCGCGCGCCATCGAAGACAGCTCTGTGTTGTTCCAGCAAGTCAAGCCTTGCGCATGGATTCCAATTCAAGTACTCACCACTCGAATTTTTGTAGCGCAGAAGCGGCCTTTCCTGGTGCGGCCTTTCCTGGATGAAGGCAAAGTTCGTTGCACTGAAAGTTACGCACGCACCTCGTTTCCTTTGCTGCGTTGAGTCCAAGCTGACTGGAATTTTATTCACAGTTCCTCCCCGCATCGTTCAAGCCGGCGCTTGAATTGTTCAACATGCTATCGTGATTTCCGTTCATTCGTTTACTCAATCCCATTCAATTTTACTCACCTCTAACGTCCCCAGCACCCTCGTTAACTCAAACTCAGCGCCCCAAAACCCAAATTCAACTCGACGTCGAGTACTATTTGCCAACACAAACCAGTTCTGTCATGATCCAGGTGAGCTTCGCCATCCAACCTTGCATTGCATTACTGACCTTGGTTTTTTTTTTTCGTTCACCCTAAGTCTCCGCCCTGGAAAGTAGTTGCGCGGCGTAGCGGCAAGTTGATAAATTAGGTCTATTTACCCGCATTGAAGTACTCACCACTCGGATTTTTGTAGCGCCCGAACGCATCGTTGGCGCGGATGAAGCCAAACTCGTTCTTTTGAAAAGTACGCACTTCTGTCTTCATGTACTTCGTCGAACTCGAGCTGATTGAATTTTTCATTCACAGCTTTATTGAATCGAGTCCCCGCCCCATTCAAATTCCCAAATCCAGGTAAGGCTTCATTTGAATTCAATCCGACTCCGCGCGCTCTTTACTAACCCAGATCAGGATTTATTCAAAACTACGTACGACATGCGTACGTACGTACGGACTCGAAGGGGAGAACGAAAGGGAAAGGAGGGAAGGGTGGCGAGGAGAAGAGGGAGAGGACGGGAGATGCAGTACGGCGTGCGCAAAATCGGCCCGCGGTGCGCGGGGACTCGATGCGCACGCACCATGTGCATGTACATGCGCCGCGGCACCGCCGAGTGCGAGTTGGTGCAGTTTGCACTCGACTCAACGGTGCGCGCGGTGTGTGGTGGCGATGCGAAGGCGGGGAACGAGGGTGAGGAGGGCGGGGAACGAGGGCGGGGAACGAGGACAGGGAGCGCAAGGGAGGTGGGGCGGCGACTGTCGACGCTGCGCAGATCGACTGCTGGCTGGGGTAGTACGCACCTTGCCTTTCTCACCAGTTCCGCGTCGACCGAAGCTGACGCGGCGCGCGCACGTAGCGGTGTACCACGGTACGGTACACCGCACCCACTGCAACGTCGGGTTTAGTGTCGGGAAGGAGACGAGTGCGTGACACGCACCTTGTACGCGCGCGCCCACGCATTCCAGTGTCGTCGTCGGAGTCAGCGCGCAGGGGAGGTACACGTACCTGGTGCCCGCGCACAGCCTGCGACGTCGGGTCTAGTGTCAGGGGAAAGGGGCGTCGAGGGCTTGAGGTGGACTATCGGCTCCTCGAGGATGGTCACTTTGACGACGACCTCCCTAGTGCGGTCCGCGCGCGCGGTGTAGCTGACGCGCCCGAGCTTGTCCGTGCTGAGCTCGTCGAGGATGTCGTAGGCGCCGCGAGGGTCGTTGTCGCGACAAACCCGCGGCAGCGATCAGCGACGAATATATTTACAGCTTCGGCTTCCCGGCAACAATTTGCGTGGTTAGAGCCCGATGGCCTGCGGAAATAACACCACGTCAATAAAAGCACAGCTTTTTCAACAGCTGTTGAAAAAATAAGGTGAGGGTTTACAGCTTCTGCGCATGGTTTGCCATGTTATTGGTACGCGTAAGGGTTTGCGGTGCAACAGCTAATTGGGCAGAAGGGTGAACATCGCAACGATTCACACTTCCGAACAAATTCCGAACATACTTATGCGCCGGAAGTATAGCTGTAAATGATAGGACGGCGTTCCTAGTGGCCGGTAAAATCACAACCAAAGGAAAGCCCCAAATCTAACTGTTCGATGAGTGTTCAGTATTCAATATCGATTGCTGGAATAAATTCGGGAGTTGAGATTGAAGGGTAAGGCGGCCTTACAATTTGGCCCGGAACCCAATCCGAGGACAAGTACTTCAACCTAGGAAGAGATGAACTCGAAATCTGCAACAAAACACTTTTATCTGGTATTTGTATGACCCCGCCCGGAATCGAACCGGGATCTTCCACTTGGACTGCTCGTCCTCATACGATAGCAAGAGTGAGTGCATGCCACATGCCACGGGGTCTTCCCTCATACTGTAACCTGCATCTGTTCATGCACGATTAACTTGACCTCCAATGTAATTTGCGACCGAAAAAAGGAATGACAACCAAAAAATGGCGGACACCGTTCAACGTACGACCCCGCCCGGAATCGAACCGGGATCTTCCGCTAGAGAAACAACATACTACATCTGAAAGGAAGGCAGAGGCATGCCACATGCTACAGGGTCTTCCTCACACCCTCTGAATCTGACCATACATGAATAAATTTGTATAGTAGAACTTGCACGATCGAAAAAGGAACGAAAAATGCATACACAGCAAGTACAGTCAACTACGACCCCGCCCGGAATCGAACCGGGTCCTTCCTCTGGATACCTCAAACTACGATTCAGGGAGAGCGGAGGCATACCACATGCTACAGGGCCATATTTTATACCCCAAATCATGCTAGACACTGCAGCAGGTGCGAAGAGAATTTGGTGGAGACGGACTCATTGTGATGGTCAATGGTCAAAGTTATGTTTACTCACAACATCTCTGAGTTAAAAGACTGATGAACACTGGCACAGATCTTGGCCCAAGATGTTCTGTACTTGATGGTTCATTATTGAGCTTTGGAACAAAGAAAAGGAAATGCAGGTTATGTCGGATGAGCCCGCCCGGAATCGAACCGGGACTTCCGCTGCCATACATTCGATAAGCGAATCCGCATAACGAGAACGGATGCATGCCACACGCCACAGGGTCTTGAATCTTCCCTCACACTGTCACCTGCATCTGCTTATGCACGAATGATTTGACCTGCAGTGGCTCAAAGGCGGGTCTCGAGGAACAAAAAGGTGTGCTACACTTGCTACGACCCCGCCCGGAATCGAACCGGGATCTTCCACTGCAAGAACAAACATCGAAATATTGAGTGAGCGCGGTTGCATACCACATGCCGCGGGGTCTTCCCTCACACCGTAACCTGCATCTGGCCATGCAGTGATTTGGACAATAGAACTTGCGCGATCGAAAAACGTATAAGCACGCGCCGTTTAATGTACAACCCCGCCCGGAATCGAACCGGGATCTTCCGTTGAGTGATGTAGTAAGAGCTTGATGAGAGCGGAGGCACGCCACATGCTACAGGGTCATATTTTATACCCCGAATTGTGGCAGACACCAAGTAAATTCGACGAAGACTGGACCCATTGCAATGATGGATGGTTGCAATATCTTCACTCACAAGATCTACCGGGATGGCTATATCGATATTGCATTCTGAGTCAAGGGGCCCAATCCACAGACTTGGTCCCGGAAGTATTGTACTCAATGATGAGAAATTCAGTCTGAAAGAAAAAAAAGGAACTCATCGGAAACAGATGACGACCCCGCCCGGAATCGAACCGGGTCTTCCACTGCAAGGTTTTGATGACTTCATTAGAGAGAACAGAGGTATGCCACATGCTACGGGGTCTTCCTCACACACCCTGAGATCGGGCCATACATGAATAAAATTGGTCTACAACAGAACTTGCACGATCGAAAAAAGGAACGAAAAATGCATACGCGAAATTGTCGACGAACGACCCCGCCCGGAATCGAACCGAGATTTTCCGCCGAATGATGTAAACACCAAGCTCGAACTAAGTAGAGCGGAGGCATACCACATGCCACGAGGTCATATTTTATACCCCGATTTGTGGCAGACACTGCAGTAAGTGAGAAGAGAATTTGGTGGAGACTGCAATCAATTTGAGATGTGGTTGCAATTATATTCACTCAACGGAGATGGCTATGTCACATTGTAAGTCACAGGGCTCAAATTCACACACTTCGGCCCCGGAAGCTTTGTACTTAATGATCAGAAATTGGACTTTGAGGAAAAAAAACTTCAACGGAAGTGGATGACGACCCCGCCCGGAGTCGAACCGGGCTCTTTCGATGAGTGATGTAGTACGAGCTTAATGAGAGCGGAGGCACGCCGCATGCTACAGGGTCATATTTTATACCCCGAAGTGTGGCAGACACTGCAGACTGTCAATTGAGAAAGAAATTTGACACAGACTCAACAAAGTGAGATCAACGAGGCTATAATTAATTACCTTGTCGCATTCTGAGTCTGCTGGATGTGCTACACTGCAAAGAACACAACTCCAAGATACTCTGTGCTTGATCATTGAGCTTTGAAACAAAAAAGAAAAACAGGACTGAGATAGCCTGGTGACGACCCCGCCCGGAATCGAACCGGGTCTTCCACTGCAACCAACACAGGAGTATATAGCGAGAGCGGAGGCATACCACATGCCACAGGGTCTTCCTCACACACCTTGAATCGGGCCATACATGAATGAATTTGTACAATAGAACTTGCGCGATCGAAGGAACAAAAAAGAAAGCTTTCACACGGTGCATGACCCCGGCCGGAATTGAACCGGGATCTTCCGCTAGAGGGATTCAATATGGCCCAAAGGGAAGCAGAGGCATACCACATGCTACGGGGTCATATTTTACACACTGAACCTCATCAGACACTGCAGACTGTCAAGCGAGAAAGAAATCGAACACCGAATCAACAAAGTGAGATCAACGAGGCTATAATTAATTACCTTGTTGCATTCTAGTCTGTTTGGATGTGCTACACTTCAAAGAACACAGCTCCAAGACACTCTGTGCCTGATCATTGAGCTTTGAAACAAAAAAGAAAAACAGGACTGAGATAGCCTACACACCCAGGATAGAATTCTTTTAGGCTGGATTAAAAGGCTAGTAAAAACAACTTGTATTAGTGGGCAAATACATTGTAGTTAAAATAACATGAATTGACACTGTAAAATAGCCTTTGCAAAGCAACATAATGGGCTTCAAATTTTTTGTTCCAAGAAACCATTGTGTTTCATTCACATTTGAAAGGAGATTGAAGTTAAAGGGAATTGAGTGCAGAAACAAACTGTTTGATTCAACTGGTTCTCAACGGAATAAGGAAACCCTTTGTTTCCACCTTTATTTTAGGCTGGGTTAAAACAAAGGTGGATACCCTTTGTTTCCTTATTCCGTTGAGAACCGGTTGAATCAAACAACTTATTTCTGCACTCAATTGTCTTTGACTTCAACCCCCTTTCAAATGTGAATGAAACAACATGGTTTCCTCAAACAAAAAAGTTGTAGTAAATTATCTTGCTTCGCGAAGGCTATTTTACGGTGTCAATTCGTGTTGTTTTAACTAGAATGTATTTGCTTACTAATACAAATTGTTTTCACTAGCCTTTTAATCCAGCCTAAAAGAACTCTATCCTGGGTGTGCTAGTGACGACCCCGCCCGGAATCGAACCGGCATCCTCCGCTAGATGCATACAATATGGCTCCAAGGAAAGCGGAGGCATGCCACATGCAACGGGGCCTTCCCTCACACTGTAACCTGCATCTGTTTGTGCACAATTGATTTGACCTCCAATGTCACTTGCACGATCGAAGGAACGAAAAATACATACACAGTCAACTACGACCTCACCCGGAATCGAACCGACTTGGACATTTAATATTGCTCAACCTCATTTTAGTCAGCAAGAGTGAGTGCATACCACATGCTACGGGGTCTTCCCTCACACTGTAACCTGCACCTGGTCATATATGAATAAATTTGTTTAATAGAACTTGCGCCGCGATCGAAAAAAGGAACGAAAAATGTATAAGCGCAATTGTCGACGGACGGCCCCGCCCGGAATCGAACCGGGATCTTCCGCTGACTCAAGTAACCACACCTATCAAGGAGAGCGGAGGCATACCACATGCTACAGGGTCATATTTTATACCCCGAATTATGCCAGACAATGCAGCAGGTGAGAAGAAAATTTGGTGGAGCCTGCACTCAATTTGGATGCAGTGCTTGCAATTATATTCACTCAACCGAGATGGCTATATTGATGTCGCATTCTGAGTAAACTGATGACCAGTGGCGCAAATAGATCTGGGCCCAAGATGCTCTGGGCTTGGTGGTTGATCATTGAGCTTTGAAAAAAAGAAAAATATGTCTGATCTATGACCCTGCCCGGAATCGAACCGGGCTCTTCCGCTGCAAGAATTCAGCGAACATCGACATGGTGAGCGAGCGCGGTTACATGCCACATGCTACATGGACTTCCCTCACACCTTAACCTGCATCTATTTGGTTGTGCATGATTATTTGACCTGCAGCACCTTGAAAGTGACGCTGCGAAGGTAGTCTTGATGAGGAACAAAAAACAAGCTTTGTTCACCCCCACCACCCCGCCTGGAATCGAACCGGGATCCTCCGCTGAGCGACGTGAACACCGAGCACGGAGAGCGGAGGCATGCCACATGCTACAGGGTCATATTTTATACCCCGGACTTTGGCAGACACCAAACGAATTTGACGGAGACTGGACTCATTGCAATGGTCAATGGCTGCAATTATATTCACTCAACCGAGATGGCTATATCGCATTCTAAGTCAAAGGGCTCAAATCCACACACTTCGGCCCCCGAAGCTTTATACTCAATGATCAGAAATTGGACCTTGAGGAAAAAAAACTTCAACACGAGTGGATGACGACCCTGCCCGGAGTCGAACCGGGACTTCTGCTGCCATACAGTCAAACGAATCCGCACAACGAGAACAGAGGCATACCCCATGCCACGGGGTCTTCCTTAATACTCATGCTCGAAAGCTTAGCATATAACCCCGCCTGGAACCAAACCGGGCTCTTCCGCCAATTATAAACTTATAAACCAGAAGTTCAAGAACAGCGGAAGCATATAACATGTTACAGGGTCATATTTCATACCGTGAATTGTACCAGGCAATGCAGCAGGTGAAAAGAGATTTGGTGGAGACTGCAATCAATTTCGGATGTGGTTGCAATTATATTTGTTCACAAGATCTTCCGAGATGGCTATATCGGCATTGGAGGATATACCAGAATCGGCAGTGCGACACACCTGAGATGCGACACATTGTACTCAAGTACGACACATTGATGGGGAATGTGTCGCACTTGTTTCGAAGTGTCTGATTCGCTTTGTTCGGCCATCAATTCACATCCTCCATCAATAAGTCCCCTTCAACAGCATTACAATATTCCTCACCCTCACCCTAACCTCTAACTCTAACCACTAACCACTAACCACCTTACCCTGACCTCTAACCCAAACCACTAACCACTAACCCTAACCTCTAACCCAAACCACTAACCCCTAACCTCTAACCTCTAACCCGAACCTTAAC